TGGGAGGGGTGAGGAGAGGGATGGAGACAAAGATGACCGCACTGGAGCTGCTGCCTGAGGCCTGTGGGGAGTGGCTCTTCCCCACGCTGATCTGAACTCCATCCTTTTCCCCCCATAACGGGCAATGTGGGGACCCAGGGGTGGTTAACAGTGGCTCTCCCGCCCTCCAGGATTATATCAGCCTCTTCCCCTTGGACGACATGCAGCCCTCGAAGCTGATGCGCCTGCTGAGCTCCAATGAGGAGGACGCCAACATCCTTTCGAGTCCCAGTGAGCATGTGGATGGGGGGCTTGGCGGTAGCTTCCTGGGAACTCACTCTTGCCTAAGAAAGTCCACAGCCGCAGGCATCCTTGCTGGCTGGTCAGAGAGGGTGTGGCAGGAGTTTGTCCCATTCTGTCCCCTCCGGCTGCTCTGTTTCCTACCCCTGGAGAGACCTAAGGTTCCTGTGGATCTCTCCCTGAGAGTGGAAGCTCTGCTGCCCCGATTCCATCCCAGCCGGGGGCACACCACGGTCCCTCCCCCACCCCTTACTTACCCAAGGTTGAGGGACTGACAAGCTACCCAAGTGAGTCCACTGCCTCAGGCACAGTCTGTGCCGTTGACTCACCTCCTCTGACCTTCCTTCCCCTGAAACAGGCCCTGAGGCCTGGAGCAGCCTGGGCTGGGACTTGGGGCTGCTCCCCACTCTTCCTGCCTGAAGAGCACCCCTCCCCCACCTGACTTCCCTAGATGTCACTACCTCTCCCTGCCAAGGCCTCCTGTGGCATGTAATTTTTTCTGTTTCTAGAGATTTCTCCTGAGCCTAGAAGTGTCTCTGAGGCCTTTTAGGGACTAGGGGACCAACTGTGCACTTGAGCAGAGGAGAGATGCTGGGTCTGCCACCTACAAACCCTGTGACCTTTGGCTAGTTACTTAGCAAATCTGAGTCTCAGTTTCTTCCTTTGTAAAATGGAGATGTGAAGATTAAGTGGCTTAATCCATGTACAGCCCCCAGATTGGCACCCCCTGCCTGGTGGTGCTCACCAAATGTTAGTTCTCCTCTCTCATCTCACGGGGATCTCTGTATTTGAGGGCCCTCTGTGACTCTGGATCCAATGACCTTCTCCGTGCGGGCCCTCTGCGCCTGATGGGGGAGGGCTTCCCTTGGGAAAGGCCATCTCCTCAGTGCTCCCTCCGCTTGGCCCCGCAGCCGACCGGTCCATGAGCAGCTCCCTGTCGGCCTCCCAGCTCCACACAGTTAACATGAGAGACCCGCTGAACCGAGTCCTGGGTGAGTCCTTCCGTCCCCGCTCCTGGACTGGGGGTGAAGACTTCGTCAGCTGGGAGGGGGCCTCCTGGTGCCCCTTCGCCCCTTCTGCCATGTTTCCCCACCTCTTTCCTCCATCTCCCCTAATTGCCGGCTCTCCCGTCCCACCCAGGCTCCCATTTAGTCCCTCTTCTGACTCGGCCCCGACTTTCCTTTGACACTTCCTCTTCTTGACATCCACCTTTGGGGGACACTCTTAGCACTTCTTTCTATTCCCTTTTCAGTCTCACCTTCTCCCAGAGTCTAACCTCTTCTCAAACCTTCTCCTGGGGCCGGCCCCGTGGCTTAGCGGTTAAGTGCGCGCGCTCCGCCACTGGTGGCCCGGGTTCGGATCCCGGGCGCGCACCGACGCACTGCTTGTCTGGCCATGCTGAGGCTGCGTCCCACATACAGCAACTAGAAGGATGTGCAGCTATGACATACAACTATCTACTGGGGCTTTGGGGGGAAAAAGGGAAAAAAAGGAGGAGGATTGGCAATAGATGTTAGCCCAGGGCCAGTCTTCCTCGGCAAAAAGAGGAGGATTGGCATGGATGTTAGCTCAGGGCTGATCTTCCTCACAAAAAAAAAAAAAAAAACACCTTCTCCTGGAATTCTTCTTCTCCCCTCATTCTGCACAGCCAACTTGTTCCTGCTCATTTCCTCCATCCTGGGCTCACGGACCGCTGGCCCGCACACTCAGTTCGTGCAATGGTTCATGGAGGAATGTGTGGACTGCCTGGAGCAGGGCAGCCGGGGCAGCATCCTGCAGTTCATGCCTTTCACCACCGTGAGTACTCGCCTCTGGGCCAGGGCTGGCCCACTTTCTCGGCCAGCCGGGTTCAGCAGCCAGCTCTCAGAGTAGAGGGGCTCCTTCTTCCCGGAACTTTGCACCCACCACGAGTTCGCCTCGGTGAGCAGCTGTTTGTCTGTCTCTCTGTCTGTGGCAGGTATCGGAACTGGTGAAGGTGTCAACCATGTCCAGCCCAAAGGTGGTTCTGGCCATCACGGACCTCAGCCTGCCCCTGGGCCGCCAAGTCGCTGCCAAAGCCATTGCTGCACTCTGAGGGGCCTGGAGTGGCTGCAGGGGAGGCCGGGGGGGTCCTGGCCCCAGGCACCTCAGAAGGGAACAATGAGGAAAGATGAGACATCATTGCTCATATCCACATGATGTAAGAGTCCTCTGTCAGTTTCCAGATCTTTCCCCTACTCCTGACTTCTGACCTCTAAGACGTCTCCCAATTTCTTTCATAATTTCCTCTCCCCGCTGCCAATACCTGAGGAGTATGAGCAGCCTGGTTCCTTAGCTCAGGGCGGTCACACTACACCCCCCTCTCATGTGTTGTGACCCCCTTCCAAGAGCAGATTTACCTCTGAGGAACTTTACAGGTGCAGAGT